AACCTCAGCTAAGACTTGATAGTTCACAGAGCAGCTTGAGCACTCCACTTTGTCTCCACCCTAAATTTAGCAGTGGTCTGTCTTTATAATATTCATTCCAGCACCAACAATCAACATTCAGTTTAACTCAGCTAAATTCAACTACTATTTATTAAGCACCTATTATGTACAAGGCACAAGGATTATATACCCACACATACACACATGCACAAGAATAATAAACATTCGCTGTCCTTGAGAAGCTTGAGGTTTAGGAGCAAGGTATACAACATGAACTCAAGTATAATATAAGGTAGGAAGTGATCGAGGGCAAAGAAGAGACCAAAGAGTTGTAGGAATGTTTGAGGAAGATGAGGACTATTGGTTCTAATAATTGGTGGATCAGGTTCCGCCTTCACTAGGAAGGCGGAACCTGAGCGAGGCTTTGGAGAAAGATAAAGATAATGAAAGGCAAGGAAAAAAGAACCTTCCAACCATGGAAGACCATTGAATGGCCACTTGAGGCAAGAATTAGAAGTCCAGTCTGACTGGAGCATAGATAGAGTAATGTGAAATAACTGGAAGCATATGGAAGCTGTGTAATTTTGTTTTGTCACAAAGATAAAGGGAAGCAAGGAAGGAAATAAGCATTTATTGAGTGCCTACTATGGCCATGAATTAATTGTGCTAAGTACCTAATAAATAACTTAATTTATCTTCATAGCAACTCTGAGAGGTTGATGCTATTAAGATTCTCATTTTACAGTTGAGGATACTGATGCAAACAAAGGTTATGTGACTTGCCCACGGTCACACAAGCTAATGAGAGTCTGAGACTATATTTTAACTCAGGTCTTCCTGATTCCAGAACCAGCATTCTATCCACTGCACCAACAAAAAGGAGCTACTAAAGGTTTTTGAGTGGAGGCATGATCTTTTCCTTTCAGACCTTTGATCTAGAAGATTAATTTGGCAGCTTTATGAAATATGGGGAAAGACTGGTGGGCTGGAGGCTAATTAGAAGAATATTATAGTGGAACAGATAAGATAGATCTGAACAATCTGAACTAGATTAGTGGCAAGGTTCCAGATGCAAGAGATGTTGAAGTAGAAACAACAAAACTTGGGAACTGGCTGATTACAGATGGTGAAGGTAAGGACTGAGACAAAGGGGAGTTGGAGGTTACATACATCTGTCACTAGGAAGATGATGGTATCCTCAGTAATAGGAGGAAGATTAGAATTTTTCCAAGCATAATGAAAGGTCTTTGAAGGATAGGGATTGTTTTGTTTCTGTCTTGGTATCTCCAATCCCTAGCAAAGTACCTTGCCTATGGTAATTGCTTCAAAAATGTTTGTTTTCTTGAAAAAGCAGTGGGTTTAGGGTGGAGGGTTCAATTAATTCATTTTGGAACATGTGGAGTTTGAGCCGCTGAGAGTACATCTAGGTGGCTATGTGAAACTGAAGTTTCACTGGAGAGAGTCATACCCTTGATCCTGCCCCCATGCTAACATCACCCTAACAGCTAGCACTGCTACCACTCTAGTACAGGCCCTCATCACCTCATGTCTCAATGACTGTAATAGCCTCTCCTTACTATGATCCATCTTCCTAAATGATCTTCCTAAAGCACAGGTCCAACTATGGCACCCCCCTACTCGATAAACTCCAGTCGTTCCTTTGCATAGCACTTCAGCGAATCTGTGTTTTGATTCATGTGGGCATAACTTGCAACAGTGCAGATTGCTACCCCAGCGATACCTCCTCCGCCCCTGTGCCTATAGTTAATGTCCTCCCGTAACTTTCACAGTGGAACCATGCAATGCACTCTTCCTCTTGAATCCTTGGCATAAAGTAGACATCACTGTGTCATTCAGATTGCCCATAGGTGCTACATTTGTTGAAATGGATTAGATTAGATTGGATTAGGATTGTATTGAATTGTGTCCCTAAGACAGGCATAGAAGACAAGGTCAAAAGCTTCAGGAAGGGGAAGGGAATAAGCATTTATACATCATTTACTCTTGTGCCAGGCACTGTGCTAAGTGCTTTACAAATGTCTTATTTGAAGATCAAACAAAATAGGAACTGAAAAGCAGCTCTTAGATTTAGTAATTAAGAGGAAAGATATGCCTCCTTCCACAAAAAAAAGAGAATTATGAAAACTTTACTAGCTTGTCATTTTGAAAACAGATGAACTTTTATAAAGATATAACATTTTATATTATAGTCAAATGTGTTAAGAAGCAAAACATTCACTTTTGCAGTAAACCTCTCTCTGTGAATGTATTATTTGCAAATAGGTAGTACACTGAATTCAGGCTTTATGTTAAAAATTTTTTTTAAAAATATGGTGTGCAATTTGTGGACATACGCCATAATTACAAATTTCTATTGTAAAGAGGCTTGCATGGTACCGAAGTGATGTAACAGAGCACTGAACTTGGAGTCAAGAAGATCTGAGTTTGAATCCTGCCTTAAACACTTACTAGCTATGTGACCCTGAGCCAGTCAATCTCAAGAATGAGCTTCACTTTCCTCATGTGTGAAATGGAGATAGTAACAGCACTTACCTCGCTGGGTTGTAGTGAGGCTCAAATTAAATGACAAATGTAAGTGGATGGGAGTCAACTGAAAAAAGAATTTGCTTAGGTGACTTGGGTGGAGGCTCTCATTTTTTCTCAGATATCTTTGGTTCTGAAATGGGCTGCTATTTTATAGAAGACCCACCGGGCATGAACAAGTCCCTCAACCATCTGAACAGATTGCTCCTACTTGAAATGCCTTTTGATTCATTGATGTCCAGCCTTGTTCACACCTCTGATTGACTAATTCACCTAGCTGTGTTCTTACCTACTGAATGAATCACCAAGAGAGCCTCCAGCCAAACCCCTTCAAGGGAAGTTCTCAATTAAGTGGAGTAGGATTCAGTCCACCTCCACCATTGCATGTGTGTAAAATGTGTGTAAAATGTAAAAAACCTTAAAGTGCTATGTAAAAATTAACCACAATTTTTAGAAATAGGGACTGGATTCTTGATTTCGTTGCCACAGGGAACTTCCTGGAAAGGAAACTCCTCTACCAATTCAGGTTGGCATTTTGCTGTCAAACTCAAATGGAAATGGGGCCGCTAAACCACACATAAGGATACCTCCAGGGTGCATATTGACTTAATATTATCTGTGTTTCATTACATTTTAATCTGGTTCTGACAGCACTCTGGAGTGTTGTGGATAGCAATCCTGAAGGCAGGCTGCATGTCCGACACCTCTGACCTAGAGCATTAGAGGTGATGTGATTGTCCCGGTGTCACATGACCAGTGTGTATCAGAACATAGGTCTTACTTGCTCCAAGGTCTACTCTCTGTCCACTATGCCATGAAATGACAACAATGACAACGATTATGATCATGATCATTTTCATACTCTTTCAAGTCAGTTAAAAATTATTTTTGATATATCAAAGTGGCTAAACTACTTTGTAAAATTCATGTATGGGTAAAATTCATAAATGAAAAACAGTGTAAACAACACATACAATTTTCTTTATGCATCTATTTGCATAATAAAGAGGCAGAATTTACTATTGGTATTTGACTTGGCAAGAAATGAGCATAAAAATTGGTACTATGAAAGTTTGTGAAATAATAGGATAGAGTGGAAAGAGCACTAAAATATGGAGATGGGGACTGAGTTCAAATCCTATCCCTACTATTTATTCCCTGCAGGACTTTGGACAAATCATTTTCTCTCCTCATTTCCTTCAGTATAAAATGGTTTCTTCTAGCTCCAAATGATCCTGTGGATTGGAGGACATCCTAATATGATTTTACCCACTGCTTTGGTGGACTGCCTTGATTCTACAGGACAACAACCCTTAAAGTGCTTATCCCTTCCACCCTGACAGCCAGTTTAGTCATTATAGGATTGGTCTTCGTAGTTTGGAAAGACTAACTCCAGAGGCCTGTACAGTTTCCCTATTCTTGTTCTAATAATTTAAGTTGTCAGACCCCTTTCTCTCAGAGGCTTAATAGTACAGGCTTCTGGAATTGCTTTTCCTGAAAACATTTAATTGAGACCTTGGAACTTAAAGTTAAAATCATCTGGACAGATAATTTGATCTGGGCATATTCACATCTACTTTTAAAATGCTTTAACTCTTGACCACTGTTAGTCATGAGAACAAACCCCAAAATCTGAAATAGTTTTAGAAAGAAATTTCTTTGGTCATTTGGTAGAGGAGGAAAGCTGGAAGGAGGCTCCCTGATCCAGGATCTTCAAGGTTTACATTACACAGGAGTTCAGAAGAATACCAGCACATGAACCACATGTAACATTTAAGCTATTTTGTAGAAAAAGAAGTTCCCAGGCAAGGTCCTTTGAGATGTATATCAGTAAACATAAACATTCAGATTTGGGGAACACAAAACACAAGCATTGGTGTTTAGCGTAGACCAAGGATCTGGGTAGGATCCAAGCATTCCCTGTAGCCACCTGGTTTCCCCAGGAGCATCAGAGGTCAGTGTGACCTCGACAGTAAGCTTTTGGGTTAGACAATTCTAGCTACATAAAGCTAGGTTCAAACAATATTAATAAATAAGATTTTCTGAACAACATATATAATAAAATGTCTCCCTACATGATCAGTTCTAAAAGATCTAGAATTCATAAACCAAAGCTATTTTCCCATTTTCTTTAATAGCTTATATTTAGCAATCTAGACTTCATGTCCATATCTCATTTAGAATGTTGGCAATCCAGCATGCTATGTACGTCCTTATCTCATAGTTGTATTTAGGCACTAGAGATGAAGTACTGTAGGAGACATATTTGTGATATCTATGCAGATTTGTTTCTTTGGGTATTTGTGTTACCAAGAAATTAAATCTTTCTAAAAAAATAAGGAAGATAGCCTCACTAAATTATACTTTTATAAGCAAGATAACTGAAATACATTCATTCTTTCTTTTCTTTATTTTAATAAAACTTGAAATTATAGCTATTTTTTTCATATTTGCAGGACTATCTCAAGCAGGTGCTGGACATTGATCTTCATGCACAGATCCATTTCGGCAGGGTTTTTATGAAACCAGGGTATGACATTTTTCTTGTGTCAAAAAATATATATGAGTGTTGACTTACACTTTGCTGGAGACTTTTTGTTGAAAACTATGATTTATTACACTTTAATATTATGTCTCTTTCCTTCTAAGATATTCACAGAACATTTAGCACAAGAATAATCACTACCTAAATTGGAAATTAATGTGCAAATAACACCAAGCAGTTTTCTTTCTTAGAGCTATAGGGTAACAAGGGCTTTACCTGAGGTCAATGAAACTTATAGAGCACTGAGAGTATATATCCTTCTTGAGCAGCAGAGACACAACTGAATTTAGCTCTTAGTTAGGAGGAATAATTAGCTAAATTAAGAAGCTACTATACTTCCACTACCCCCCATCCGGAGCAGCTGCTTCTCCATTGGAGTTTTGGGATCTCTCTCCTTTCTGCAGGGGCCATGAGTCCCAAAATCTCCCTCCTTCAACTGAATAACTGAATTTGTCTTAAAAAGTGGCTGAAGGACCCTTTTAATTCTACCTTATAGAGGAATATTTTGTAACTTGTCTCAAAAATTGATATGTACGTATATATGCATCTGAACTTCCTTATGAATGAACACTAATTTGTTAATAGTTAGCCCTATTAATAAAACAAAGCAACTTTTCTAGACTATTACTTACACAGCCTCCAGGTTAATCTAAGTTTTCATCATCTCACATCTCCATTACTACAGTAGTTGGTAGGTTTGTTTTCAACAAAGTCAGTCTTATGGAAGAATTTTCTCCCCTTACAATTTCCAGACCTATTTTCCTCTCTCTTTTTGTCCCTCTTTCCCCACCCTACCTTTCACACTTCCCAAGGAGAGAAGGAATAAAGTTTGTATGTCATATTTTATATAAATATTCAAACCTTGGACTTTTCCCCATAAACAATAACCACTTTGTTGTTACTCTTCGTGACCCCATTTAGGGTTTTCTTGGCAAAGATACTGGAGTGGTTTGCCATTTCTTTCTCCAGCTCATTTTACAGATGAGGAAACTGAGGCAAACAGGGTTAAATGATTTGCCCAAGAGGCCAGGTTTGAACTCAGGTCTTCCTGACCCCAAGCTCTATATTCTATCCACTGTGCCACCTAGCTGCCTCCAAAATAACCACTTAGGGAAAGGCTAATAGACAAACTTTAGCTGAGGGTCTACAACCAGTGGCAAGTCCCTAAGACATGTCCTACACCTGAGTTGTTGGAAGGAGCAGGTGAAAGAACATGTCTCCAAATTACATTATACTCTTCTCACAACCCCAATACCTAAAAGCTCTGATGTCCTATTCAAGAATCCTTGGGCCTAGTCTATGGAAAAGAGATATAGGGGTGATTTTAACCCTATTCTATATATTTCTATGCTACTTTATATCCCAGTTAAAGGGATATAACATGACTGTTGCCTTGAGGAAATCCCTGAAAGTGTGGGAGCAAAGTAAGGAGAGAATTTAAAGGTGTTGATATTCTCATAAGTGAATAAATATATTAATAAGTATTCAGATACTCTCCAGTTGCTGTAAAGGCCAAGTTGAGGGGTGAAGTACTAATCCTGATGAACTTCCTCCTCCTTACGATAGTCAAGATACTAAATAACTTTTTTTTTATGCTTAGTACATTTGCCCTTTTTCTCATCATTTACCAGTGTATCTATCAACGTAAATCTTGGGTTACCCCGCCCAGGTACTTTCTGTGTTTCTGTATATTTCTAAGCATCTGTGGAAAGAAATACAGGATTAGGACAAATCCATTACTAAAACCCCTCAATTTCAAGAATTCAGCAGGCTTAATAGATTGAACATAATCCAGGGGTGGAGAACCTTGGGCCTCATGTGGCTCTCAAATCCTCAGGTGTGGCCCTTTGACTGAATCCAAACCTCGAAGAACAATTGCCCCAGGTGCCTCACCCCTGAATATAGACAAATAGTTAACCGTCTTTGTAACATGTACGAAGCTATTAAATTGCTTGAAATTTTTTTTAATCTAGGAAATAAATTATATAAAGAGTTATAACTAGGATTAATATGATTGAGGAAAATATTATAAACCAAAAACTGCCCCTGGAGCAAGCAGCATGAAAATAGCCTCAGTTAAGGAATACCTATTCCTAGTGTGCTCATCCTAGCCCACCATCTGGAAGGTTTCTACTTGAATTTCTTGCTAACTAGCTGCTAAATTCTTGTTGTTTCTACCCTATTCTAAATTTAGCACCCTGGTAGAAAACCCTGGTTGCTTCCAGCCTAGTTGTAGCCCTGATAGAGGACAGCATGGTAGAGTGAAAAGAGCTCTGGATATGCAATCAGAGAACCTCAGTTCACATTTTGACTGTTTCTTACTACCTGTGTGCTTTGATAGGGCATCTAGGTGGCACAGTGGATAGAGTTCCAGGCCTTGAGTCAGGTAGATTCATCTTCCTGAGTTCAAGTCTGGCCTCAGATACTTCCTAGCTGTGTGACCCTGGGCTAGTCACTTAACCCTGTTTGCCTCAATTTCCTCATCTGTGTAAAATGATCCAGAGAAGAAAATGGCACACCACTCCGGTATGTTTGCCAAGAAAACTCCAAATGGGATCACAAAGAGTTGGACAAATTCAACATTCTCTTTATGATAACAATAATAATAATAATAATGATAATAATAACTTATATTAGCACTTTAAAGTCTCCAAAGTTCTTTATATATGTTTATTTCATTCAATCCTCACAACAGTCCTCTGAGTTAAGTAAAGCAAGTATTATCTCCATTTTGCAGATGATGAAGATTAGATGATAAAATTTAAAGTGACTCACCTAGGGTGTCACATAGCTAGTATATGGCTTAGCCCATACTCAAAACCAGGTCTTCTGAGAAGTTCAGTACTCTTTCTATAACACATTTTAGTTATAAACAACTTTTCCTGCATTCTTGGGCTGTCCAGGCATGGGAGTCAAGTTCCTCTTCTATGACTGAGACTTTATTATTATTATTGTTGTTGGGAATGTGAGACTGGCATTAGGATCTCTCTAAGGTTCCCTCCGTGGGTATCAAGGTTTGCTTTTTGTCAAATTATGCATCTGAAATTTCCCTGTGGTCAAGGAGGACTGCTAGCTGAGTTAACTAATAATGGACCTTTGAGAACAAAGTTCCTTTTGTCTTGATACGTTGTCACACAGACCATTCATAGGATGATCATAGTTTTAAGTGACCTTAGCAACCACTGAATCTAACTCCCTCATTTTACAGATGAGGAAACTGAGACTAAATGATTTGCCCAGGCTCAAAGAGCTCGTTCAGGTGCCATTTAGTGGAACTTTGTGACTCAAGTCTAGTGCCTTATCTACCACACCACACTGCCTCTCTTTCCTACTGAGAAGAATATTTGTTTTAGATATATATTAATTATTTTACCATGGCTGTTCAAGTTTTTTGGCTAGGTATTGCCAGTTTAATTAATTATACAAAGGACATTCCAAGTGAGTTTCAATGTACTTCTTGTTAACCACAAACATGAATTGATATGTTCTCTTCTCTATGTAAAGTATGCAAACATCTCCTGCCCTCACTCCTAGAGGAGAGTTATTGGTCTAATATCTATGATTAAAAAATTCTCTTAACTTCTCTGCTATTTAATTTGGATATTCCTCTTTCTTCATTCTTTGTTATTCAGGGTTTTTGTGGGTTTCTGGGGCTTAATGGTTATTCTTCTTCCCTGGAGTCATAATACCCAGTTTGTGACTTCAGTCATTTGCATGCATGCTTGTCCTAGTCTGACTACCCCAGAGAATAGACAATGTGAGCTGAAAAGTACCAAGGAAATTGCTTCCTAAAGATAAACAGAAAATAATTGCTATTTAGCCACAGCATTTTTAAGATAAGACACTTATGTTTATAATCATTCACATTACAAACATTATTTGGTAATGACATTTTTGTGTTAATAGGATTTTGTTAAAGTGAATTGGTTGCAATCACATTTTTAGCCTTCAAATTCATAAATGACACAAAACTGAAGCCCAGCCTCTCCAAAGTGAATTAGCAAGAGGGAAGAAATGATCCCTTTGTCTGTAGGAAAAAGGAGAAGGAAGCATTTGGCCCAAACCAGCTCCATCCTGTTCCTGGATCTTTGTGGGTGGTGTTTTGTTTTGGTGATTGGCTTGGGAATTAGAGAAATAAGAAGAATTTAAGGGCTATTGCTACTAGATATCAAGACGAAAAGAAGCATTAAAATTTCTGGTAAAGTTCTTTCCACCCACCACAGGCAATTATGTTGTTTCATTTTGGAACGACTGTAATGTAGACAGAAGCCTGTTCTTAGGCCTTTTATGCAGGATTATTTTTGTACGAGATTCTTTATACTATTTGCTCTTCTTAACATACCAGTTCTAACAAGTTTGGATGTCTCTTTCTCAAGCCCATAGCAAATTAGAAGCAGGCAAAGACTGGCCCCAGACTGCAGTGATAAGTGTCAGCAGATAGCCAGACTCTAATAAAAGAGGTAGCAAAGCCATAAAGACAAATCACAAGAACTCAAAAAGTGTGGGATCTGTGGTCATGACCTCCCAATATCACTGAAGAGGAGAATAACGATGTTTATAATAATAACCTTGAGCCACCAAATTAAAGACCTCTGACCCACTTTGGCACATTCTTTTGAAAAAAAAAAAAAGCTAAATGATTTTCAGTATTCTGTGAGTAAGAAGTCAGGTAGACATACAGTATATCTTAGTTAAGAGCTCACAGTTAGATAGTGCTTTATATTTTACAAAGGGATTTAATTTCAATTCACCAAATACCTATTTGGTACCTACTGTGTTCCAAGCACTGTGCTAGGTTGGTAAATGAGATATAACATATAATCTTTCTCAGGGAGCTTTCCTTTAAGGTAGGGAGTGCAGTCCTGAATTTGAAGATGAGAAAATGGGGCTCAGGTTGATGATGAAGTGAGTTGTCATAACAACGGAGTCATACAGCTAGTAGGAGGAATCAAACAGCCAGTAAATATATATCAGAGCTCAGACCCCAACCCAAATCCGTTTCTTTTTCTTCTGTTATACTGCCTCTTAGTATATGATATCAATTTTAGAAAGATTTTCACTTATGGTAAAAACAAAAAACATGGCAAGAGTTTATTCAGTAAACCCTAAGTGTTCTGATTAGCTTAGGTTACTATAATAAAATTTGATCTTCAGTGCAAACCAAGAGATTAGTCCAATAGAAAGAGCTCTCCAGCATTGAGTAGTGAGCTGAAAGGTATATGAGCCTAGGAAAGTAAAGAATCGAATAATTGGAAGGGTAGAGTGAGCTTTGGAATTTATAGTTACACATTTGTACCACAAGCAAATTAAAGGGAGGAAAATGACATACTTAAAAAAAAAAGGTGGAATATCTTGAGAAAGATATTAAAAACAAGTCTCCTTAAATTCTTTTTAAACATTTCTTTAGTGTTCAAGGGGCTATAAGAAAGATCAAATAAAATAAAGTTATTTCATAACATGTGATCATTTCTATGTTATACTGACATAATAGGAATACCTCAATATTTAATTCAATTGTATATTTTATATCTAGTACATAAAAATGACTTAATTTCTCTCTAGCCTGCCAACAACATTTGCAACCTTGGACATTGATGGTGTAAGAAAAATAATCTTTGCACTACCAGGTAAGAGAAACATAATTTCTGTGGCTTTCTCTGAAAAAGGGACAGAAATATTTTGTGCTTTCCTACTTAAATCTTTTGAGTTCCATATCCTGGACGCTACTTCTTTCTGACCACTTACCCTTCAGCTCATCATAGAAAGCTGGCAGATGATGACTATGAGTAAATCAGATGACCTCTGGGTTTCCTTCTGGTTCTGAAATGCTGTGATTCTATAATAATGTTAATCCACCTCTACAACTCCTGAGAGCAGAGATCCATGGATTCTGTGGAGGAAGTCCAAAACTGCTCTAGCCTTCAGAAACTGAAATCTTAACCCTTTCCACCAGGTTTGCACATACACTGATACTTCATAAGCTCTTTGCCAGACTCATTACAGCCAAGTCTCATTCAGGATTTTCTCCAGAGCCACATGACCAGTACCAGTCATGCAAGGCTGTTTAGGCACTGTGGTAACTAGGCCTCATTTCCAAACATACAAAAAAGTTCATAGGATCATACATGTAGAGTTGAAAGAGGCAGACAGCCCAAGGGCTTTCTGATCCAACTCTTCTCTTTTTAAGATGAGAAAACTGAAACCCAGAAAGTAATTTACTAAAAGTCATACAGATCATAAAACATCAAAGAGGGCACCTGAATCCAGGTTCTCTTTGCACTGTTAAAATGTTGCCTCCTTAATACGGTCTTTCAAAAAATAAGAAATCAGATTCAATTCAGTCAGATCTGACATTTACAATTCCTTTGGATTTGGGGTGCTTATTTTTTATTATAAAATAAATTTAACCAAAAAAATAAATAAATTTAACAACTAAGTTAATGTTTATATATAAAGGTAAAGATAAGAAGTATTTGATATACATAGAATAAAACAAATGTACTCTAAAACTTCTAAAACTTTAGAAAGATAATATAAACTTTATCATTAAGGACTTAAAGCAGCATGCAAGTAAATTAGCTGTCAGAAAGCTTGTTTCCAAGGTGAACTGGTGAAAATGTGATGAATGAAGGGTCCCGTGGCCCTTTCATACCCCAAATGTAACTATTTTTCTATTCTCATTATTACAAAATTGTGTTCCATAAAGAAATGATTGCTTGTCACTTCTTACTTCTTTTAGTCTGTAAGAAGGTTGATATAGTCATTCTTTTATTTATTCAGCAAACATTTTTAAGCACCCATTATTTGAAAGGTGTGCAGCAATATGACATACAGTCAATCAACTAGCAATTATTAAGCTCCTAATATGTTCCAGGCACTATGCCAACCAATGGAGATACAAGGAAAGGCAATAAAACAGTCCCTACTCTCAAGGAATTCACAGTCTAACGGGGAGCACCAAGCAAACAACTATGTAGAAACAAGAGAGAGACAGAGTAAAATGGGGCTGATGTTGGAGGGAAGGCGCTCTGTGATCCTGGCAAGCCTCTTAAATCCTCAGTGCTCCCAGGTGACTCTTTAAGACTGTGCATTGCAGAACAGCTGCTGTTCTGCTTTAGTAGACTTACTGTCCTCCCTGGAATGAATAGGATCCTAGACCGAGAGCTGCAAGGGACCTTGGAGATTATCTAGTCCAGCCCCTTCATTTTACAGATGAAGAAAATCAGGGGAAGAGGTTTGTTCACAGTCACAAAGGTAAGCATCAGAGGCAGGATTTGAACCCAGGACCTCTGACTCCACAGTCAATGAAATCAACCCCTCCCATCCCCCAAAAAAACATTACAAGTCACTGCCCTAAGTTCTATACAAACATACATGATCCTTGCCTTCAAAGAGTTTACAATCCAGTAAAGGAGATAAGACCTGTGTATAAATAACTATAATACAAAACAGAATGTGTTTTCCCACAGTTATTTGGTAAATGCACTGGAGAGGTGCAAAGTGTTAAGAAAGTTCAAATGAAGAAGAAGTCTAGCTCTTCCTTCTAACCCATTTCTTCATATACTTATCCCTAAGTCTGTCTTTGTATACTTGAAAGCACAGGTAAGTGGAAAGGGTGCAGGAGAGGGCAGATAAGGAGAAGAACGTGGAAGAGAGCTTCTGACCTTTACACTCACAAGAGCACTGGGAGCAAGGGAACTCAGGCTCTTTCCATCCCTGTCCATTTAGTCCCATATCATTAACCTATCTGTCTTGTGGGGCTCCCTGCTTCAAATGCCTTGTTTCATCATTTGGGGGCTCAATCAATCAGAAGCATAAATTAAGTACTTTGCTGTGTGTGTGCCAGGCACTGCGATGGCAAAGACAAAGACGAAAAAGGAAACAGTCCCTGCCCTCCAGGGGTTTACAGTCTAGCTAAGGGAGCTATGCCCATATATAATTATGTACAAAACCGAGACAAGGTGATTTGGAAGGGAAGGTTCTAGCTGCTAGTGGAATCCACAAAGTCTTCCAGAAGAAGGTATCACTTAAGCTAAGCCTGAGGGGAAGGAAGGGGCCTAGGGATTCTGAGGCATTGAGGAGGGAGCGTTTTTCTAGACATGTAAAAGCACTAAAGCAGGAGGTGAATGTCAAATAAGGAGAAAAGTAAGAAGGTCAGTTGGTCTGGATATTCACATACTACAATGGAGGGAAGCAATATATGAGGCTGTAAAGGAAGGTTGGAACCAGGCTGTGAAGATCTCTAAATGTCAAACGAAAGAGTTCACATTTGATTCCAGAGGTAATAAGTAGACACATGGCAAGGTCAGATTTGTGCTTTAAGAAAATGTAGGCCTGCACCAAGTTAGTGGTTGTGTGAGTGGAGAGAAGGGGTCAGATTGGAGAGATGTTGTGGAGGTAGAAAACAAGATATGGCAACTGACTGAATATGTGGGATCACTGGGAGTATGGGATCAAGGATGACACCAAGGATGTGAACCTGCATGACTGAAAGAATGGTGATGCCCTCCACAAAAATAGAGAACTTCGGAAGAGGGATGGGTTAAGTAATTTGCTGAGACAGTTAAGCCTGCTTACCTCATTCTGTTACTTTCTTCTACCTTTCTAAAAGAAGTGATCCCTAATGCAGCAACCTCTTGTGACCAGAAAGTCTAGTCTCAGGACTCAAAATTCTCTCCATTCACAGAAGTGTTTTCTGACACCCATATGCCCACCCCAGACTGTCTCACAGAAAATGCATTTAGCATATTTAATTGATTTACAATCTCTTAGTTGATCATTTAACCAAAGGTACCTTAGAGTGAAGGGCTACTGACAATGAATTAGAAATTGTTTCAAACTGTTACTACAGCTTGAAATGTTCCCTGTTCATTTCTAATGAACCAAAAGAGGGCAGCAACATCTCACATCTCAAATTATAAAGAAAGCAAGGGCGTTCACTATCCTCCAAAACTAGCTGGCATTTTCAGCTTTATGAAATAAAAATTAAATCTGTTTTCCTCACTGCCAAACAGAGCATTTATCAGTCTTTATGATTTTTAAAACAATTCATTTTAAATGCTAAAATGGGAATATAATCTCTGTTGAATGAAGTTTCTGGTCTTTTCCAGAAAAGTTTCCTTCTTATATTTTGAGGTAAAAGGAAGAAGTATAGCTACCTGATAGATCCATGGGATTTTACCAGAAGTGAATAAATTTGATTCTTCCTCCTTAATGGCTCTCATATCCATCCCCTTCTCTCTGCTCATACCACATCCATTCTCAGCCCCTTATCACCTCTTGCTGGAACAGTTATAATAACCTCCTAATTGGCCTGTGTTCTTCCCTCTCTAAATCATCCTTCATACAAATGCCAAATTGATATTCCTAAAGCACAGGTCTGAACATGTTACTTCCCTGCTCGTGAAGCTTCATTGGCTCCCCATTGCCTTCAGGATAAAATATAAGCTTCTTTGGTAAGCATTTAAAGCCCTTCACAACCTGCTTCCAGCCTGCCTTTCCGAGCTGATCACACGTTACTTATCCCCCTATTCAACTGCCCCTTTATGTGATATTCCATCTGTCCTCCATCCTGGATCACCTTTCCTTGTCACCTTTACCACTTGGAAGCATTAGTTCCCTCCAGTGCTCAGCTCAAGTGGTAGAGAGGGCCAGATTGGTTGGGGGACAAAAGAATAATTAGTTCAGCTTTAGATGTGTTAACTCCTCTGTCTCCAGTTCCTCCCCTCTTTAATCCATCCTTCACACATTTGACAAAATAATCTTCCTAATGCACAAGTCTTCTCAAAAATCACAGTACCTTCCAGATGCCTATACGATAAAGTATAAAATTCTTAGCCTGTCGTTTGAAGCTCTCCACAATTTATCTCCGTTTGGCTGTTCTACCACTTTTCACATGCACTCTAAATTCCAACCTAACTAAGCTATTAGCTGTTTCTCGATCTTGACCTCCCATCTCACATTTCCATCCATTCATGTGGGATGTGCTCCATGTGTGGTATGCACCTTCTTCATCTCTAACTGTTAAAATCCTCTTTCTTCAAGGCTCTGCTAAAATTGCAGTCTTCTCCAACCTCTTCCCACCCTTACCCCAGCCAAAAAGGTTCTCTCTCCCTCCTCAAATTTTTGCAAAGCACCTTGGTTAGATTTCTCCTTTGCTTCTATCACATTCTATATTGTATTATGCTTCTTATATCCCACCAATAGCTTGTAAACTCCTTGAGGTAGGGTCTGGGTTATTTTCTATTTTTATATCTCAGGTGCTTAACACAATGTCTTTCATACTGTAAGCACTTAATAAATGTTTGTTGAATTGAATTGAGCTTTAGGTATGAGCAGATAGGTGGGGAGATGTCCAGCAGACAGTTGTAGAGCCTTGAAGTTTCCAATTTCTTTCCTTAAAAGAGCCTTATGAGGAAGAGCTAAAAAAAAAAACTTGAAATCTTACTCCCACCATTCATAGATGGTTGTATGAAAGTATGGGAAATTGACAGAATCATAGAATCAAATCATTTCTGAGCTTGAAGGAACCTTACAAATTATCCAGTCCGGATTTCATTTTGTAGATGTGGAAACTGAGGCACAGAGAAGTCAAGTGACTTGACCAAGGTCATATAGCTAGTTAGTAACAGACTAACTAGACTAGAATATCATTCTTTGGACTCTCATTCTAGTTCTCCTTCCACTCTGCCATACTGCCTTCTGAGAGGAAATCCTTCTTGAATAATTACATTTTCTTTCCTCAATTCCTTTTTCCAGTTTTAAGTGAATGAATTTATTTATCATCAGATGTTTCACACTTTAAATAATTTGAGAGTGTTATAGGCTGCCTTACTTGTCTGTGGCATAAGGGATATGTAATCAAGGAATTAGATGATTAGAAAAGGAAGTTGACTGGTCATATGGTTAAGAGTGAGAGATAACAGACTGATAAATTGAATCATTTACTGGTACCTACAAAATATGTGAAGACTCAAAGGAAAGCCTCCAACATGTTGGAATGGATCCCCACGGACCAGAACTGTCCATAATGAAAAGGCAGAAATGTGACGCAGTCTGCACCAGTGGAAGAAATACCCTACCTGAGTGAGGTCATATACAGCATCAGAGTATTGAGGAAGTTGTATGAGCATTCAAAACAGCTGTCAGGCTTCCTCTTTCATTGCTAGGCCCAAAGAGGTGCTATATATGGCATAGCATTTTATATAATCACTTTTATATTAGGATCCTTTTAAATCTGAGATGCTTCAGAAGTCAGAATAGCTAAAGATCAGTCACTTTTATGGAACTACAGTTAACCTTTAGCACTTTACAGTTTTCAAAGCTCTTAACTCAAAACAGCCCCAGAGGAACGTTATGTGTACACAAAATTAATTGAAAATCTAGCAATAAGGACATTAATTAGGAAACATTTCTTTGTTTATACTATGAATAATTGACTAGTTTTATTTTTCAGGAAATCCTGTATCAGCTGTGGTCACCTGCAATCTCTTTGTTGTCCCAGCACTAAGGAAGATGCAGGGAATCCTGGATCCTCGACCAACAATTATCAAAGCCAGGGTAATGTTTTCCAGTTGTAGCAAACAAACAAACAAAAAAACTCAACTCTAAGGATCCGCTTTTTCAACTGACTTTAATTACTTGGAGTGTTAAGTTTTTACAAACAAGCAAAAAAAAAAAAAAAGTAAATTTGGAAAAAGCCAGTCTCCTCTGCTCTCCTTCCACATTCTCTTCTGAAGTCATCCTTGGCTTCAGGAGAAAATAATCTTCACAGAATTGAAAGCCATGTAAGAACCTCTGAGAATTAAAAACTAAGAGTGGATATTAAGGAAGCATACTATATAGCCAAGAAAAATATCCAGGTCCACAAGCTGTCATAGGATTTGAATCAAACCTCCTTGCTTGTTATAGAAGCCTAGAATATAGCCATATTTACATAGACGTATGCTCTGCTACCTGTCCTAGACTTATTTCAGTGATTCTACTATGGTTAAGGCATGCTGCAAGATTCTGGGATTACAGAGATGAGTAAATCATAGTTCCTACTATCAACAAACTACCAAACAACGGATAATAAAAGCTGTATAAGAAAAGACTGGTGACAAATAAGGAAAGATGACCATAAAGGATTTTAAAATATGAACACTAATGTTGAGAAATAACACTAAAGTTATTTGGAGTAAGTTTAATTTCCTCTTTCCTTCAGTCACCAAAGTAATGTGAACAAAATTTGATGATGTTCATACATTTTTCTCACTCTGTAATGAAAATCATTTTTTAAATAGACAAACTATAAGACCAAAGACAGATATGGCAAACAATGTCAGATATGGAAGGAAACTTAAAGGTACCTAATCCAACCCCTATGTAAGGAGGAGTCCAGACTAGGGGTTATCCAGCCTGTGCTGGAGAAATCCTTCCCTAATGCACGTATTAACTCTATCTATGTTCTGCTATATTTTTTTTTCATTGAAATAAATTGAATAAATTGAAATAAATTGAAATAAATATTTCAAAATTACATTTTAATCTGGTTTAGCTGCACTTAGGAGTGTGTTTGACACCTCTGCTGTAGAATAACAGAAAGTCTGCCTATTTCATTCTCATAACAAGGATGACCTTGATACATATGTAGATTGTGATCATAAACATGTTACATAGATGAGGAAGTAGGCATATAATCCTGAAATTATTGACATTCGTTCTGCCACTTTTTTTCTTGGTGGTGATAAAGTCTGAAATTTTTTCCATGTCTTTGGTATCTCCCTCTTCTTCAAATAACAACAGTTGGTGCATTGGAGATACTGGGACTCAGGGTTCATCTCAGGCTAACTGCTGAGTCTGTGCCTCCAGTATAGTCAAATACTTTATTAACATCTGAACTTTATACAACATGAAGGAAGAAGAAGAATTGCTTTGGGTTCCATAAAATATTTTATCTAGGACTAACAGTATAAAATTTAAGAATTTTTAGGCTTTAGAAACAGTATAAGACTGAAAAATGAAGGGTGAAATAGTGTGTGGAATGAACGTTTTCTTCCTTAAGTCAGATAGTTGACGCTTACTGTGTCAGTACATTTCCACATTTGGAATGGAAGTCCAACAAGCAGTTCAGAAAAGCCAATCAGACTTTTTTTTTACTGTAGCATTTTTTTTTTTTAGTTTGAGATCAATCACCAAATAAATAGATAAATTTCAACAAAAAGCAGAATACCCTCTGACCAAACTAGAGGTTATTAACTATGCACCTTATTCACTGTTTAGACATCATACTAAATTTAGGAAACAAGAAAAGCCCTGTTAGTGACACGAGAATACTAATCACAACTTTCTGGCACTAGGCAAAGCCCAAAGAATCCTTTTGTGCTTTACTTATGTTAATACCTACAATCCCTCTTTTTTGAGACTGACATTTGTAGCTGCATTCCATTAAACAAAGCTGCCTGGATGGCTCCTTAAATCACACTGATGTTCTCTACATTGTATCCATAATGCTTCCAGTTTCCTGTCAGCTAATAGAAATGCAAAACTTGGTCCAAGAATCCATCGAATTCCTGTCTCCCACGTAGCCATATCACTCTGTCTGCCCCTCAAGCCTCATCATCTTGGACATTTACATCTTAAACACCATCCCTAACTTAGTTTAACAAGCATTTTTAACCACTACAATCACAGGACACATGATCGCATCCTCTGTGTCTAGTCATTTCACTTTGCTTTAAAAGGTATGAATCCTACAACCTCAGCTTTCCAAGTGAACAAAGGCCAGTAATTGACAAAAGCCAGTGGAACACTAATGTTAATTTGTAGTTTGGCCTTTCTCTGTCTTTCTTGGCTTACCCTGCTTTGTGGAAAAACTATGCATTGTGTCCAGAGACTGGTCTCTGCTTTGGCCGTAGCGGTGTATAATGAGCCACATTTTTTTTTCATAGGCCAGACCAGGTTTCATCAGAAGGTCAACCATTCAGCGCTGCGGTGTTTTACAGGATGCCAACGTGGAGCATTTGCTTTGCCTGTTTATTTCATTGATTAATCATGGTTAGCATTGAAGAAGCATTTTCCTCCTTCCTCAAGAATCTTACATTCATTCTTTAGAGAGAGACAACTTTTTAATTATAAGTTTATACAAGATACAGTGTAGAGATAAGTACTGGATAGTGACTGGACCTATAATTTAGTTAATATAGGAACTTCCAAGTGAGGGAATGCCTTCTACCAATGCATGTCAGCAACCTCCTTGCAATTTTAATCTTAGAGAGTTGCCTAAAGCAGGGGATGGTTCAGTGTCTTATGCAAGGTCAGATAGCCAGTATATATCAGAGGTGAGTCTTGAGCCCCAGTTTTCCTAGCACTGAGGTCAGCTTTCTATCCGCTGTACCTGTGGTGCCAGGCTATATGTATACAGAATGAAAACAAGGTAAGGAGGGAATGAAAACAAGGTAAGGAGGGAAAGAAAAAAGGAAAGACCTCCCTGAGGAGTTGGTGCTTAAGCTGAACTTTGAAGGGAACTGGGGATTCTATAAGGCAGAGATGAGGAGGGAGTATGCCCTATCCATGGATAGCCTGCGTTAGGCATAGAGACAGGAGTGTTGTCCTGGAGGACAAGGAGTCCAGGAAGGGAAATAATGTAAAACAAGCCAGGAAAGGTATTCATTGTGGATGAAAGTATTTCATTATAGAAAGCAATCAGGATTGCCACTCCCTACTAGAATCTCTTTCCTTATTATTCTTCCAGAGTACAGAGAGCTCTGCATGCTGTAAACATTGAACAAATACTTTGTAAGTGATGTAAGCATGAAAGCATATACAATCTGAGCCTTGAACTTACACACAGACTCATAATTGTTAATGTAATGTTATGCTATTGTGTGATAAGCTCAGCCTTTACTGAGGTCCTAGTAGTTACAAGGCAATAATTTGCCAAATAATTCTATTAAATGCGATATAGGGTGTTGTGTTTTTTTTTTTAAAGGAGGAATTTTGAAAGACAGACATGCCATCAAATCAGGTGGCATAAGGGAATACTAAGGTGTATTTGGAAAATGGAAATGTTCCTGAACAAAAAAATTTGAAATAGAATTGCCAGCATGTGTAAACGTATCAAGGTTTTCTCCTAAGTTTGAGGCAGATGCTTCACAGGGACTACCGTTGGAAGACCAATAAAGTCAATGTTATCATTGTTGCAGGTTTTATTGAAAACACCCTAAAAAGTAGAGCAGGAAATCTCTTCTGAGATCATGATCTACCAAGCCTGAGCAGGCTTTTATTCCTAATGTGGATAATAGAATGATCATTCTGTTCTAAATTGGAAAAGACCTTTGAAGTCATCTAGTCCACCCCGCCATTGTCTACACTTTGAGAGACCCAGAGCAGAGAAGTGGCCTTCTTAAAGTCGACAGACAAACCTAGGATTCAAACCCGGTTTTTTTTATTCCAAAGACAAATGTACTATGTAGCACAATAGTCCTATGATGGAAACCTGGATTATTCTCACACTATGTAAAGTTATCTAGATGGTCATTTACCTGAAAAATAGATAAAGAATATCCTCCCTTTCCTATTCTCACTTCATGCCCATAATAATAATAATAGCTAATATTTACATAGCACTTACCATGTGCCAGGCACTGTGCTAAGCACTTTACAATTATTATCTCATTTGATCTTCACAACAACCCTGAGATGTAGGTACTATTATTGTCCCCATTTTATAGATGAGGCAGAGAGCAGTTAAATGACTTAGGGTCATGCAGCTAGTAAACATCTGAGGTCAGATTTGAACTCAGGTCTTTCTGACTCCAGGCCCAGTGCTCTAACCACTTTGCAACCTAGCTGCCCCTAGACTTTTATTTATAGGGTACTTCAAAAAATATTGTGTGAGTAAAAACAATCCATATTGATGGAGTTAAAACATCTCACCGAATTAGCTTGCACTGTTTTTTCACCAGAAATGTCATACTGTTATGTAACACAACCACTATGTTACATTTCCTTATATCATTCTCAGAAATGAAGAGAAACTGAGAGAACAGTTGCTTCCTTAAGCTACATGCTATAATAATCATGATTTTTATTATAGACACATATAATGATTAGTAAAGCATATATACATTTTACTGAAACATCCACTCTGTGTTTATGGTTCATTAATAAAAAATGCTGTTAGATTTAATATTTTTTCTGCTCAGAGTACTAATGGTTCATAAATTTAGCTGACAGTAATAATTTGAAAGCATTTAACATTTTTTATTTTACAATTAGTTGTGTTAATGCCCTTTGCCTTTATATCACAGCCACTTCCAGATATAATACTCTCCAAACCCCCAACAGAGAAAAACAGTTAAATAGCATGAGATGGTGGAAAGGATCAGACTTAGAGCTGGAAGGGAACTTAGAGGCCATGGGGAAACTGAGACCTGAAAAGATCATGTGACTTGCCCAAAGTCACACAGGTGGTGACAGAGGCAGGATTTAAACCTTTGTCCTCTGACCCCCGAGCCAGTGTGCTTTCCATTGTGCCCCTCTGAAAGAATGCTGAATATGGAGCCACACACCTTGGCTTTGCCATGTACTGTGCAACCTTGGGAAAGCCACTGTTTCCTCTGTACAATGAGGCCGTTGGACTAAATGACCTCAAAGGTCTCTCTCAGTTCTCCATCCATAACCTATGATCTCATCTAAGAGTTTATACAATATTCTACACCTGTATTCCACTACCACCCCACCCACTCCCTCCAAGATTAGTCATTATAGCTACTCAGAGTTTGGCCTCATTTTAGTGTTCTTTGTAAATGTAGTCGTTGTGTATGCTGTTCTATTGGTTGCACAGAACATTTCAAAAGACCGGGTAGGAGCAGCTAGGTGGTACAATGGATAGAGCTCCAGCCTTGGAGTCAGGAGAATCTGAGTTTAAATCCGGCCTCAGACACTTGACACTTACTAGCTGTGTGACCCTAGGCAAGTCACTTAACCCCAGTTGTCTCACCAAAAAAAAGACCACCAGGTAACAAAGCAAAATTTATTCACGCAAAAAGAGCAATCACGTATGAGGCTGAAAGAGCAAGAGTCAGAGATCAGATGATTTTTTAATTGAATTAATAAAAAATTAGGAAAAGTGAAATAAGATTTTTCAAGGGCTTTTAGCTGTCAGGTTTATGAACAATAATAAATACTATTGTAGCCTATCAGAGTTGATTTGTTTAACCTGTGGTTATACTTTTGTGAATTGTTGGAAAAAGAGATGCCACTAGAATTATCTCCCTTTTAGTGAGTCTTTAATTATTTCAACATTTTTTGTGTTAAGTATACTACCAGATAAGCAGACCTCTGCCAAAGATGAGGCAATGTGTATATTTTGTTTTGTTTTTGTTCTTTTGGGGGCGGGGGTATTAGGAGGGATGGTAGGCAGGGATAAGCTTAAGAGCCCTGTGAGGCTTTTCAAATCTGTGTAATTTGTTCTCAGATGCAGTGGACTGATTTTGTATTTGCTTATTTGTGTATATGTTCTCTTTCCCTGGACCATGTAAGCTCCTTAAAAGGGTGCTTTCCTTTTGTCATTGTTTCCCTAGAACAGTACTTGGCACTTAATAATTGTTTGTTGATGGGCTGATGCAGATTGGTTTCAGGGTCCTGGCAGGCAGCATCTTAGAGTGCCCTTATCTTCTCAACCCAAGGGGCTCAAGAGCCAGTCTGGATTTAGGGTTAGGACGAATCCCTCCACATGAGACCAAGGTGAGATCTGCCTAGTTAGTTCTCAGATTTGACTGAACTCTTTTCTAGGAATTGAAGAACGTATTTACCAGTTGGCCTTGGGTGGAGCTATCTAGAGATAAAAGAATGGTGGCATAAATACTTTCTGGCAGGAAAGAAGGCTGATACCTACTTCTTGAAAGTGGCTAAGGAGTTTTTTGACCCTTCTGATTTTTTATAAATAATTTTTTCTAAAAAGGTGCAATACATTTTTGCCTTCGTAATTACATTCAGATATCCTAAAAACTGTATAGATTTTTAGCCCTTAGCAAGAAAAGTACCATATAGTTACAGTACTGTTTATGTGATTGAGTCTTAATTTTTAACTTCATAGAAGATGATTTTGTTTTCTTTGACTGTCAACTCAGGCTTTAAAACAAAGCTTGAAGGGGAGACCTTAGAGATTTTCTACCCTAGCCTTGTTTTATACATATGAAAATTAAAGCATACAATGGCTAAGTAATTTGCCCAAGTTCATAGAGCATGTGGCAGACCTGGAAATAGAACCCATGTCTCCTGACTCCCAGTAGAGCTTACTGAAGGATACAAAAAGAAATCAGAGATCTCTACCTCAAGGGAGATATCAGAATGATTATAACATGAAACAACTTAATTACATTAGGCTCATACAATATTAGACAGAGAAGACAAGCCCTAAATCAATACGTATGAAAAAAAAATAAGTATAAACTGAGTTTCATGAGTTACATGAGCAGCAAAGAGTAAAGGAGTAATCAAATGGATGAGATTTAGTCAGAAAAGTCTTCTTGGAAGAAATAAATTTCAAGCCAAGTTCTGAAGGAGATGAAAAGCTTGGATTATAAAAGAGAGAAATGGGGTTTCCAAAGGCATAGTACAAATGGGTGGAGGCTAGACCTGTTCCTAAAGTAATCAGATTTCCATTTTGTCAAGATTTTATATAATTATGATGTCTTCTGATTGCAGTAGACTTAAGACTACTTAAAAGGTAAGGGTTTGTTTGAGAGAAATATTAGTATCCACATATTGGAGCAAGCTTTATTTATTCTGACATTGAACTAAACCTTCGAACTTATAGAGTATCTTTAGGCACCTGCTACCTTGTTTCTTGTACCTGTTGTTTCTTTAGCTTATCAGATTTATCATGGAGGGTGAATTAAAAGCTATACATAAAAGGGATAGAATTTAAATCTGATTGGCTCAAAGCCTGATTAGTTAGTCAATGATCTATAATGTGGGTGTACTGTTTTTGCTATGTCGGTCACCAAAGGATTTCTTTGTCCTTTTCCATACCATGAAAAGGAGTCACCCAGAAGAATTCTTTTATAATGTCAATGTTCTGCTTAATCCAGATTGTTATAACCCTTAGGACAAAGTTTATTTATCAGCTATAATGATGAATCTTACTTTTTATGTATATGTATGTGTATATATGGGTATCTGTATCAATAGACATATACATATATGTGAGTATATATGTGTGTATTGATAGATGGATATAGATATATTTCTTAGAATTAGAGCACCAATGAGAAAATCTAAAGAGAAAAGGGGAAATGTACAATGTCTTCATGCTGGGTTTTGTTTGTTTGTTTGTTCTCCTGTTCGTATACATTCACATTTTTGGAGAGTATTTATTCACTACTTCATAAGCTGCTTTGATTCTGCCTGACTTGTACTGGATGTTCAAACAATCACTGTAGTTCAGGAAGCCCTTCCCCTCTCATCTTGCCCTCTCTATCCCATTAGAATAAAAGCTTCCAGTCCTTTCCTCATCATCCCACCAAAGGCCCTGATCTTCCCCTGCCATAGTAGGGGTAGTGATAATGAGAGCAGCACTGGACCCATAGCACTTGTCACCCCCACCACACCCTTGGTAACATCCCCAACCACGTCATGAGAAAATATCATCTGGTAATCTGGTTTGAACCAATCATAACCAAGAAAATAAGAGGTTTGTTTTCTTTACTCTTGTTTCTGCAGTTATCATGTGATGTGAAATTGGATCCTCGCCCAGAGTACCATCGGTGTATCCTGACTTGGCATCACCAAGAACCACTGCCTTGGGCTCAGAGTACAGGTTAGTCATACCTGTGTTCAAGAATGCTTTACATACTTGTTCTACGTGTGATTACTTATCACTTTATATTGACCTGACTAATCAGATTATTAGAAATTTTCCTTTTGAGAATTTGACTGAGTTAAATTATTTCTGCCGATTTGGGCATTCTGACATTATAACAGGCAAGAGTAAAAAGTTAAAACATAGATTGTTTCATTTTGTTTAGCTGGGATTTGCAGATAACTTTCTGAATTGTGAATGTGAAATTGTAGAACACTTTTTATGAACTACTTAGGGGCATGTGGTGGAGGGAGGAAAAGGTAGGGCTCATAATAGAGAAGGCCTAGGTGGAGTAAGGTGAAGTGTCCTAGCATTATCTGATCTGGGTCCAGTTGAGGGTATGACAGAGTCTTGTGCAGCAGCACTCTACCCCACCATGTTAAAATTATTTTCTCCACCAGTCATTCTGTCCTAAGTCCTCCAGTCCGAAATGTTGATAACAATGAGTAATAATAGTCTGTCCTATAAAGAAGTATGATGGAATCATGCCTATTCCTCTGGGCAGCTCTACTCTAGCTAGTTTTTCTGCTTAGATAAAAAACTGATCAACAGAGACAACATCCTCAACTGTTATTATAAATACAAGTGAATTTATATAAATGCCTTTTAAGCGAAATCTGAAAAAATCTTAACAAAGAAATTAAAAGCAACTATAAAGTCTGGAAATGGGAGCATACATTTCTGTCATCATACACCGTAGCCACTTCTGGTTTCTGAAGCCTTGTGGCAATTTTCTGTTACGTTAAGTGCCCTCCATTCCAATTCCCTGACTCTAAAATTCTTGGTCACGTATATAATATCTCTAAAATAGGTGCAAAGACTATATATCATGTCAGGGAGGAAATTATCCTGTCATATTACAAACACAGAGTCTGGAAAAAGATTTTACAAATTCTCCTTTTTCTGTCATATCAAAAGGGTAGCCTGAGTATTTGTAGCATTTTGTGGAATGACATAAAGCATAGCCTATTGAAGCTATGGATATTAAAGGTTTTTGGATCTGATTTTGTATTCCTTCAACAACAATAATTCCCAACAGTCACAAAAACAAAAGATGACCTGCTGAAGTAAAATTCAGCTATAAAAACACAGGTGTGACCATGTCATTCATTCTCCTACTCCAGAAGTTTCAGTGACTCCTCTGAGACTCTCAGATCAAATTCAAACTCCTCTGTCATTTAAAGCCCTTCCTAATCTGATTCTTAACTACCTTTACAGCCTTTCCCTCCCCTTTCACCTACCCTGCACTTTAGCCAAACTGACTTCCTTGTTTTGCCTCACATCACACCATTTTTTGTCACTGTATCTTTGCCCAGACCGCCCTTTACTCCAGGTGCTGGAGAAATAACATGTATGGATGAGCGCGTGAGTTTGGTAGACAGCTCTAGGAGGATCAGAGAAGGCTTCATAGGGGGCACCTGAGAAGGAAAGAGAAAGGTTTTGAAATGCAAAAATGAGAAGGGTTTGCATTCTCAGCATGTGGGAAAGCTTATTCATATGCAGGAGCTGAGATATCAGTTTTAGAGAACAGCAATTACTGCTATTTGGCTAGAAAATGGAGTGTTTAAAGGAGGAAGTAATATGAAATAAAGGTGGAAGGATGAATTGAAGTGTGACTGTGAAGGATGTTTAAATCTTACTGAGGAGTTTGCATTTTAATTTAGAAGCAATAGGGAGAACTTACATGAGCCGATGCAGAATGAAGTGAGCAGAACCAGGAGAACATTGTACACAGTAACAGCAAAATTATACGGTGATCAGTTGTAAATGACTTAGCTATTCTCAGCAATATAAAAAGGACTCATGATAGAAGCAATAGGGAGCCAAAGTCTTTTTGTTCAGGGAGTGACAGCAGATCTATACCTTAAGAAGACTGTTTTAATAGTTATGATGGTAGAGTGAGGTGAAAAACCGATTAGAAGACTAGAAGGCTAGGCAAGAGGTGATAACCTGACTTAAGATGGTGGTGGTTCAGGTAGAATGAAAAGGAAGCGGGAGATGTAGAGATTAAAATCAGTAAGACTTGACAACTTATTGGATGTCGGGGTGAGAGTGAAGTGAGGGAGGAGAGAGAAGAGTCAAGGATGACACCAGGGTTACAAAACCACTCTGAAGAAGAGGCATGTTTACAGAGGAAACTCATTAGTTTTATTTGGGATATGTTGAGTTTGAGGTGTTGATAGCACAGTAATGTGGAGATGTCGAACAGACAGCTGGTTATTTAGGAAAAAGACTGGGAATGGATTCATAGATTTAAAAGTTATCTGTGTAGAAATGATGAGTGAACCCTTTGGTAGGTAGTCAATGAGATCATCATAGGAGAGAGTGTAGCTAAAAAGCTAAGGAAGCCTAAAACAGAGATATGGGGGACACCCACACTTGGGAGACAGGAGAAGGATGATGATGAGCAAAGAAGACTAAAAAGAAACTATCACACAGGTAAGAGAACCCAAAGAAATGGAAGTAACAGAAACCAAGGAAGGAGAGAATGTCCTAGAGGTGTGCGGTCATCAACATCTAAAGCATCAGAGAGACCAAGGAGGGCAAGACCTAAGAAAAGGCCATCAAACTTTGCAGTTAAAAGCTTTGAAAACCTTTAAGAGAGCGATTTCAATAGAGTGGGACGTTCAGAGGAAGCTGGGCTTAGGGAGGAAGATAATCAGCTCTATTTTGGACACGGATGGGTATACTGATTTGGAATCATCTTTGTAGAAAAGGTAAATTGAATGCATAGCAGTAGTTCAGATCTATGGAGTGCATTTGCAGAAAGATCAGAAGTGAATGGATAGTAATGTAGAGTCAATGGTTATAGATGACTTTATTAGTCACCAAGTCTTGTTAGCAGGGAAAGAGAGCATGGAGAACAAGAGGACAATATCTTGAGGGAGGCCAGGTTAGTGAAGATCTTTGAGGGGGAGGGGGCACCTGCCTTTTGGGAGGGTGAGAGAGCCCTTTGATTGGGAGAGACTGAAGATGAAGGAGAGAAAAATAATGATCAAAGGTGCAAGCTCCCAGAGGGGAAAAGAGGAGAAGAAATCAAGGGCGCATAAGTAGAACGGTTGACCTGGACAAGAAAATGTGTTACTTTTCTCAAAGCATGGGGAAAAAGAGCTGTCAGATGAAGTTTTAAGGTATGGAACAGAAACTGACTATATATAAATGGCTTCTATTTTCTTAGTCAGTTAGAAGGCAAGGTCTTCTGAGAGAGGGATACGTAAGTCTTGAGGAGAGAGTTTGGAGCAACTCTGGGGAGCTTGTAGGATAGAGAATCAGGGAATAATAAAAAGGGTGCAGTGCTGCAAGAGGCCCCAACACATGTAAGATAACATGAATTTATAGTGTATCCTTTGGTCACTTCCTTCAGTAGCTTTCAGCAGCTTGGTATTAAGAGGAGAGAAGGTGGCTAGTAGGATTGACTCACAGTTTAGGATGGCAGCGTGTGATTGGTGGTAAGACAAAGGAACAAAGGATTCAAGAGCGGGGGATAATGTGTAATTGAACTGATCAACTATAGGGTCAAGACTATGAAGGAGGAAAAGTGGCATGTAGGTCATGGAAGTTGAGGACATTGAAGTCCCGGGAAGCCAAAGTGTTCAAGGTTGGGGTGGAGAAGAAAACTACAAGCCAGCTACTGAATGAACAAACTCCTTGATGAAGGTAGCAGCCAGAAAAATCTGGACCAAGTGAGATAGATGGGTGGAGTGAACCTTAAAGGCAGAAAAGGTTCAGACTTAGTGGTAGCATTCCAGAAGTAGCAGAGGAAAGCACAGGCTCCCCTCAGCCTTCTTCCTGGCCCAGTTTTTTGTGTTATTACGGCTGTCATTGTTGTTGTTGCTGCTGTTGCTACTCTTGTTGGTTAGGGGGTTGGAGAGTGGCAAGAAATGTCTCTTGAAGAAACACGGTTTTTTGTAAGCATCAAGAAACTGAATGATTGTGAGATAAAGGAGAGTTGGTTAATAAGAAAGCTAGGGGTCCAAAAGGTAGAGTGGAAAAAAAGGCAGAAGAGCACAGGAACCAGGGTAGGGTGTGGCCAAGCTGGATAGGGTCGATGGCTCTGGGAAAAGTAACAGGTTTTTGCATCAGGTGGTGGCTTCTTTGCATTACAGGAATTTAGGGAAGCATTAGAGTGGGACAAGACAAGAAATAGTAAGGGGCAGCTAGGTGGTGCAGTGGATAGAGCACCGGCCCTGAGGTCAGAAGGACCTGAGTTCAAATCTGGCCTCAGACCAAACACTTGACACTTACTAGCTGTGTGACCCTGGGCAAGTCACTTAACCCTAATTGCCTAAAAAAAACAAAAAAAACAAAAAGACAAGAAATAGTAAATCAGAACCCCTTCTCTTGGGTGGGTTTGAGGGCCTACATGAAGAGAGTATGAGGTACGGGGAATGAGGAAGTTGGAAAGACAAGATTTTGAAACAAAATTGAAACTACCTTTGTGTCTTGAGTAAATCACAATGAAAATGGTCTCTTAAGTCATGTGAGATCTGAATTTGAATCATACCTTTGGCACTAGCTATGAGACCACAAACAAGTCACTTAACCTCTCTGAGCCTCAATTTCCTGCCTTACAGGTTCGTTATTGTGAGGATCAAATGAGATAATGAGTTTTATAAACCTTAAAATGCCACCTAAATGTTAACTCTTTTTCATTTTTATTAATGGGGAGGTAGCCTGTGCAATCCATACAGCGCCATCTAGCTCTGAAATTCCATGACATATGAAATCTGAGCCCCTCTTCCTTGCATTTTTGTTCATAAGTTTTCATTTTGGAAAAAAAATGCTACAAAAACAATAGATACTTTCAGTGGGTCTTCTGCTAATAAAGAACTCTCTTTCAGGGAATCAAATGAGTAGTCGTCTGATGAGTATGCGCAGTGCCAATGGACTGTTGATGCTACCTCCAAAAACTGAGCAGTATGTGGAACTTCACAAGGGTGAAGTGGTGGACGTCATGGTCATCGGAAGGCTATGATGGTCACCAGCAAGAACAAAGCTTTGATGCATGTCTACATATCACTGACTGTATCCTGTAATATGCAACGGCACAGCTAGTTTTTCTGATTTGGATAAAAGTTGATCAGTATAGTCAACACCTTGACCTATATTTCAAATGAATTTAAATAAATACCTTTTAAAAAAAACACCTAAAAATAAAATCTTAACAAAGAAATTTCTTCTGATTATATCAAAGCAACTTTTTCCTTTCTTGCAATTGCTTTGTGTGTTCAATGCTAGGTCTGATAGCGGTAGCTTTTAGTAGACAGCAGTAGGTGCCTGCAGAACTTGTGTTTTTCTCATCTTTAAAATACAACTACTTATGCTCTTTAAACAAGGCTGTCTGCTTATTTATACTAGCTTAGGAAATACTTGGATTTCCCTTCTCAGTATGCTTCATAACCACTTCACAGAGAGCTTTGGCTTGTTCTTTCTCTTGTATCTCGTGTTTATGTGCACAGTGCCAAAAGAAGACTGTGTGGGGATCTCGCTCTGCCTTGGGGTGTGCCATCCCCTTTGCAGCAGGGTCCAGGGGAATCTTCCATCCCAGCAGCCACCTGGCACAGTCCTCTTGGGCAATAACTGGATACCTTTTATTTGAACAAACAGAAAAAAAAATTGCTTCCTTAAGTGCTGACAGCCTTTTTAACCAATACATTTAAAAATGTACAGAACTAAAAAAAAATATAAAGAATCAAAGACTGATCTTGTACAGATATTAGTGTTACCAGCATTCATGTGGAAATTAAATGAGAAGAGAAATAAGAAACCTAATGTTGAACAATTCTGTACCATAACATTTTCTGTAATGATATTAAAACTTAATGAATAAAAAAAATCCTTGATCATTATTTAAAATTTCATTGTGTCAGCCTCATTATTTGAAAAGGAAAAGGCTGTCTTGCCTCTCAGATGGAGTACAGCAGGACTGAAAGGAAGGTAGAAGGTAACCTGGCAAGGTAAGGTGGACTAACAGGGAACTTTCACTTCAGAAATGTTTGAGTCATATAATAATTGGACTTATGTCATCGCAGTAGTTGCAGCACTTTGAAGAAGAAGGCTTAGTTGTCCAGAAAGGAGAGAAGAGTAAGTTTAACTGATGTGATGTTTCCTGGCCAAGAATGGGTGACTAAATCTCGTTTAAGGAAATTACAAATATCTAGCAAAGGCAGGAAACTGGAAAGAAATATTATAATTCATTAGCTTGGAAGAGAACGATAATACAAGCATACTGAAATTCATAAATCTGTAGTTCTTTGGAAGAAAAGAATATAAGGAATATGAAAAATCACATGTGAGTACCTGGGGGATAAAAGCAACAAATATGCTGTATAAACCATGAGAAATTCAATAGATATGGTAAATACCATATCCCTTGTGAGTGCCTTAGGTGGGGATAAACAGTATGTATTAGTTGGTTTTGCTGAAGTTTTTATTCTTTATTACCACAGATGGCTTATTGGATGGAGGGAGGAATATATTTAGAAATGAAGATACAAAAACAAAAGCTTTTAAAACATTTTATTTAAAAATTTTAAAAGTGGTAAAAACTGAATGAGTTCATTTTTTAAAAGTCAAAATTATTGAGAGGCGAGAATCAAGGGGTTGAGGAGAACAAGAGGAGATTTTACAAATAGGAAAAAGAGAAGAAAGGAGATAGGAATAAACATTTATAAAGTGCCTCCGTGCCAGTCAATGTACTAAGTGCTTTTACAAATATTATTTCATTGAATTCTCACAACAATCCTATGAAGTGCTATTATTATCTCCATTTTACAGTTAAGGAAAGTGAGACCCAGGTTAAGTGATTTGTCCAGTTACATAGCTAGTAATTATCTGAGGTCAAATTTGAACTCAGGACTTCCCTACTTCAAGTCCAGTACTCTATCCACTGAAAGACTTTACAGAAACAAGACAGTGGTAAAGGAGAAGAGTACTAAATTAAACTAGATAATTCAAACAAAATTATTAAATTAGAGAATGTATAACTATAAATGAATCATGTTATAGAATAAAATAGAACTAGTAATCATCTGGCTAATATCAATCAAGAAGCACATATATGCTAGGTAACAATGACAACAAAGACAAGAAAAAACAGTCAATCTCTGCCCTCAAGAAGCTTACTGTGGAAAGGCCTCACATGTAGGAAGGAGCATTTAAGATGGGCTTTGAAGAAAACTAGAGGTTGCATGAGGCAGAAATGAGGAGAGTGTGCATTGCAGGGACAGTCTGCACAAAGGTGTGAAGGTGAAGATGGAATGATGTGTGCAAAAAACAACAAGAGGTCCAGCTTGACTGAACTATAGAATGTACAACAGGGAATAATACGTCTAGAAAGGTAAGTTGGAAGCAGATTGTAAACGAGAGTGAGAGACTTTAAATGCCAAACAGAGGAATTTGTATTTGATCCAGAGGCAAGGTGAGGGGGCAGCCCCAGAAGCTTCTTGAGTATGGGAGTGACATGATCACACCTGTGCTTTAGATATCAACTTGGCAGCTGTGTGAAGGATGGAATGGAGAAAAGGAAGGCTGAAGGCAGGGAGACAAATGAAAAAGCTAATGCAGTTTTCCGGGTGAGAGGTAGTATGGGCCTGAACTAGGATGGTAGCTGTTTGAGGTAGAGAGAAGGGAATGAATGTGACAGATGTTGTGAAGACTTGGTATTTGATTACAAATGTGAGATGAAAGGAAGTGAGGAATTGAGAATGATTGCAGTTTTGAACCTAGGTGACTTAGACAGATGATGGCGCACTTGAGAGAAATTAAGAATTTCAAAAAAGAGATAGGTTTGCAAAGAAAAATAAAAAGATAATGACTTCTGTTTTAGACATGAGTTTGAGATGCCTGATGGACACACAGTTCTATATGTCTAGCCAGCCAGTTACAGGATGAACTAAGGAGACTTGGGTTGGATGTATTAAGAGTAGACTTGCAAACTGAGAGTCATGGAGAAGATAACTGAAGTCACTAAGAAAGCATAGAGAGAAAAGAGGGCTCAGAAGAGCCTTGGGATGCCTGAGTTGGGTGGAGGGTGGGGTTTGAATACAGATGATAAACAAGCAAAAGAATTAGAAGAAGCAGTCACACAGGTAGAAAAAGAACCAAGAAAGAACATGGTGCCTTCAGAAACATGACAAGGAGAGAGGTTTGTTGCAGGAAGATATTGCAAAAAGTTTTTGCACTAGTCTACATGCATTGACTTAATCAAAATTATCTTTTAAGTCCTGTTACTCAAAATTTAAGCCAATAAACATTGATTAAGCCCTTACTGTGTAAAAATGCTGGGGGAAAAAGATGAAATAAGACACAAACACTGTCTGTATGATATCTCTAATAGGGAAAACTAAGAAATACGCTGTGATACAAAGGACAATGTAAAATTCAGAGATGTCCAGGCAAAGTGTGATGAAAAACTTGAGGAAGGAGAAATCACCTTCAACTGGTGGGGTCACAGATGCTTCATGGAGGAGGTGGCATCTGTATCAGGTTTCAGAAGTTAGAAACAGGATTTGTGGTAGTTGAATGAAGTGTGGGGTGGGGAGGGGGTTCATCCCAGGCATAGGGGACAAAATGAGCAAAAGCAAGAACAGAAAGTGAAGAATAACCATGTGAGATAAAGGCTGGAAAGATAGAACTATTGATATCCTTCAGTGCCAAGAGTTGAGATTTATGCTTTATTTGAATGGAGAATCAATAAATGGAGAAATGATCACACTGATTCATCCTATCACTTCCAGGATCAAAGACAAAAAATCCTGTTTGGCATTCAAAGTCCTTCATAACTTGACCTCGTCCTACCCTTCTGTTTTTCTCACACTTTATGCCCCACTTTATATTCTTTGATTCAACAACACTGGCCTCCTTGCTATTCCTCAAACAATACACTCCACTCCTGAGGGATATCCATGTTTAAGAGGCCAGAGGAGGATAGAGAAAGTACAGTTGGAGAGGGAGGAGGAAAACTATGATAGTGTTGTATCATGGAATCCAGGAAGTAAAATATCAAGAAAGAAGGAATGCGAATGAAGCCAAGATGGTGGCATAGCAAGAACCAGTATGGTAAGTAACCCATAAAAACTCCTCCAAACATATAGAAAATGCACCTGATGAAAAAAATCCAAGAAAAAGTCACAGTGATTCATTTTTCCAGCCTAGGCCAGAATAGCAAAGTAGACAGAGGGATCCAAGGACACTGACAATGGGGCCTGGCCAGGAGAGCACTTGTGCAGAGCATTCCAGAAGAGGGAGAGGCAGTGCACCTGGGCAAAAGGTGGTTCCATCCCAGGGACCTCAGAACCCATACCAGGACACCCAAGGGGACAAGGCACCAGTCCAGGTCACAGATCGTGAGCAGACAGAAGAGAGCACCTGTACCAGGGGTGGGAAACCTTCAGCCTCAAGGCCACATGTGGCCGTCGAGGTCCTTAGGGGCAGCCTTTTGATTGAGTTTAAGTTTTATAGAACAAATCCTTTTATTAAGGGGATTTGTTCTATGAAGTTTGGATTCCATCAAAGGGCTGCACTTGAGGGCCTCGAGGCCACAGGTCCCCCACCCCAGATTTAACACCCACAGGTTCAGAAAGAAGCAGTAGTGGGGGCAGAGCCAAGATGGCAGAGTAAAAGCAGTGACTTACTTGAGCTGTCCCCCAAACCACTCCAAATACCTGCAAAAAATGGCTCTAAAATTCTACAGCAGCAGAATCCACAGTAAGACATAAGGAAACAAATTTCCAGCCCAAGACAACCTGGATGATTGATTGAAAAGGTCTGTTGCTGGGAGAGGAGCACAGTTCAGCATGGGCCATGCACCCTGGCCTCAGCGAACCTGCAGCAGGCCTCAGGAGACTGAATCACACCCAGCTGTGGAGGTTTCCAGACTTCTCAACCCACAAACACCAAAGACAACTTAGAAGGTTACTAGGAAAGGTCTGTCAGACTGTGGTGACAGAGGAACTCAATCTGGCCCCAGTCTTAGTCCCCATAGCTCTGGGGCGGCGGCTGCTTCCAAAGCTCTTGGCCCACAGATGGTGGGGAGATCAAGTGGCTGATCAGAGGGGGATTGCAGGGATCTCTTTGCTGGTGCTGAGGCAGGATTCTCTTGCTTTGCCCACCCTTGGATCTGGGTCACAGTTCTGGGTGGTGGTCCTGGGGCGAGAAGGAGCTTGTGATAGCGATGGAGAGGGAGTCCTCCTCACAGTTTGAAGGCAGAAAACAGTGCTTGTGGTAACTCATAGACCAGAGCACAGGCCAGGAAAGGAGTAAACACCTCACCCTTGATCACAACACCTTAGAAGAACTAAAAATTTACAGGTCACTAGAAGTATCTATGAAAACAGCTGCACAAAACCCCTGAAGCTTGGGACAATACACCCTCCACACTAGAAGCAGACCCCTACCTTAACAAAGAGTTTAAAAGTCAAATAATTGGCTGGGATCATGAGCACACTGCGCAAAAAAGTCAGACCATAGAATCTTACTTTGGTGACAAAGGAGATCAAAATATACAACCAGAAGAAGACAACAAAGTCAAAGCTCCTACATTCAAAGCCTCCAAGAAAAATACGAATCAGTCCCATGCCATGGAAGAGCTCAAAAAGGATTTTAAGAAGCAAGTAAGAGAAGTAGAGGAAAAACTGGGAAGAGAAATGAGAGTGATGCAAGAAAATCATGAAAAACAAGTCAACAGCTTGCTAAAGGAGACCCCAAAAAATGCTGAAGAAAATAACACCTTAAAAAATAGACTAGGGGCGGAGCCAAGATGGGGGAGTAAAAGCAGTGACTTGCTCGAGATCTCCCCCAAACCCCTCCAAATACCTGTAAAAAATGGCTCTAAACAAAATCTAAAGCAGCAGAAC